ACGTGTGTCTAATCAAGCGCCAGAATTTTTTTAGAGGAAGACATGGTATTTCCCGCCAAGAAAGGTATTTGCATCTTTACCAACTTCCCACTGACATAAGGATGTGCTACCGGAAAGCAGGAGGACTATCTATAAATTCTAGCATGGAAAGCGAGGCAGATGGAAATCAAGTCCGGGGGCAGCAAACTCGGTTGTCCCCGAAGGAGATGTTGCTCATAAAGACAAATAAATGCCTGCTACCACTAATATTTAATGGAGAATATTCTATAATATTAAATATATAGTCCGTTACAGAGAATATGACATTCACAGGAATCACAGCCTGCCGTTACATATTCTTCAATGGCCCCAATAATTGTCATTTAAGAGAGGCTTGATCCTAGGACCTGTTCCCTACGTGCAACTATAACTACTGAGTTCAATAGCCATTGTAGGGGACGAATTTTTTGACAAACTTATGTTATATACTGTTTAAAAGCTCAATAATATTTTATTTCTTGCTTAATAATATTGTTATAACTCCCTTCGGAAGCTCTGTTCCCGGAACCAAGCTATCTGTTGTCCTACCCCGATTTTAACGCTAAGTCTTGCATTCTTATTTAAGTTATTTATCATTTTGGGATCAAATTAATTTAGTTGTCTATAAACCACATATAAATACCATTTTGCGGGTAAACACAACTGAAAGTTAAAAGAAAAATTATTTTATTTGTTTCGGAAGCTCTATTCCCGGAACCAAGCTATCTGTTGTCCTACCCCGATTTTAACGCTAAGTTTTGCATTCTTATTTAAGTTATTTTTTATTTTGGGATCAAATCGATTTAGTTGTCTATAAACTACGTATAAATACCGTTTTGCGGGTAAACACAACTGAAAGTTAAAAGAAAAATTATTTTATTTGTTTTGGAAGCTCTATTCCCGGAACCAAGCTATCTGTTGTCCTACCCCGATTTTAACGCTAAGTTTTGCATTCNTTGTGGTTTGTTAATAAGCAAAATCAGAAAATCACCCTAATTAATTAAGGGCCCTACATTTGCCAAATTTTATTTCAAAACGTGATTTGACATACTTTATGGTCAGACTAATAACTCAACATTCGTTCTTTTGCTTGGTTTGGTGGTTGGTAACGACGGGTCAAGGCCATGACCATGGACTTGTGGTTACATCACAAATTGATCATTGTAGTTAAAAAGATTGTTACCACGTAATCTCACATGTATAATTAAAGATGTATTTTTACTTAATCATATCATCTAGTTGTAATCATATCGCCATCTTCTGCTTTCCTAATTTTGCCATCCCTTTTTCAACTTACAGTAATATCCGGAAAACCTTAATTTCTTTCTGTCAACATCCCTTATTTTTATCACACCATTATCATATTAAATACCCTCGTTTTTACTATACATCTGGTGGTATTAATTCTTCCCAAATTTGATAACCAATCCAGAATTAAATAGTTGAAGCTTGATTAAATCACACGAAAAATGAGTTTCTTTATACCACAAAACTCAATAGGTAGGGTTCTGACCAAACACAGGCCATGACCAGTGCATAGGACTAGAATGTCTTAGGGCATCTCCAACCTTTACCCCATTTTGAGGACAACTTACTCCAACCATTTCCCCATTTTTTTCCCCAAAAGAGAATATTCTTTTTTATATTCTTTTCTCTCTTCTATATTATATTATTATCTTTTATTTCAATTTTTATTTTTTAAATTCCATTAAACAAATTTCATCTTTTATAATGATTTTGGTGTATCTGGAAGCGACATACCTCCCTACTAAGTTATTATGCTATTTACCGTAGTTTCAATTTTTATGTATTTTACTTTAATGTATTTTCAATTTTCATGTATTTCCAATTTTAATGTATTTTCATTTAATGTATTTTCAATTTTTACTTTTCAATTTTAGCAACATCTAATATTTTATATTCGCACATTTCAATTTTAGCAACATCTAATATTTTATATTTGCACAATTTATTTTTTGAGATGATTATATATTTTTTGTATAATTATAACTTATAATAAAATTAACTTACAATTTTACATAAAAATAATAAATGCATGAAAATTAATTTATCAAAATTATACGCCAAAGTTAAGATGTAAAATTAATATTATAAAGATATTACATAAACATAATTAGGTATATATAAAGAGATAAATAATAAAATAATAATAAAATATGCATGAATAGTAACGGGGGAGATGAATAGTGTACCCCATATTTGAAGGAACACTATTCATCCCCTATTTTGGGGGCAAAAATGTGGGAGTGTTGGAGCTTCGTTATGACAAACATTGCCCCCATTACGGGGAAATTGGGAGGGTTGGAGATGGATTAATTCACCAAGGAGTTCAATGTCTATTATATATACAACTAGTGATCTCATTATATTTATGAAATAATCTTTTTCTAATATTCTAATGGTTAAAAAAATCAAAATGTATGTTCTGAAGAACTAATTTTTTATATTAGCGTGTATTAATTCAAAATAGTTCTTCCCTCAACTCTTCTGGTTCCATCAAAATCTTTTTTCATAATTTCTACTCATCTTTTCCGATTGCCTCTAAAAGTGATTAAAGAGCAGTACAAAGGACTTGAATTAATCAATGTTTCAAAGAGAACTATGACGTTAGTAGTTATCGAGTATTGAAGCAAATTATTTTAAATTAGCGTTAGAAACATTAAATGATAGATTAGATTACAAAGCTATATAAGAACGCTTAGCAATTGTATAAGAACAAAGAAGTCCTCTAAGAAAAATCAAGAAGAAAAACACTTAATAAATGAATAGATTAGCATATTACTATCATCAGATTGAAAAGTCATCCTACATACACATTAGAAACATCTATTTATAAACTTACTTCAAATCAACACTTGATATTTTCACAAATCAGTTACATGTTGTAAATCCTCGCTCTACCCTCTTTTCTTTATTGCTTTAATGAAACATAATTAAGTGAAAAAATAAGAAAAGTAAAAAGTGGTAGGGTCTTTTTATTTCACTACTCTAAGTGATAACATAGCTTATAGTTTTCAACTTTCTCCGGTCAAGCGAGTTGCCTAAATAAACTTGAAAAGAAACATCACGATGTTAGTATATTATTGTGACATCTATGTAAAGGATATATATAAATATAAAAAGTGAGTAATTTTTTAGAACGTAAAAATGTATCATGGTTACCAATTAAGTCAGCTAGAAGGCCACCTTCGTGAAAACATCGATTTCAACATCTTGGAAGATCTCCCAGTACTCTGAAAGTTCTCAGAATTTATATACATTTATTTAATCTGAAGTGACACGTGAAAAGTGAAAAGTACAATATATAACGATAACCCCTTGCTATCTAGCAAAGAAATGAAGAATTGTTTTAACAGAAGCATCAAAATTTCTTCAATGACTTCGATGTACAACTAAAATTACACTGTTAGATTTATTCCATCTACATTGACAGATTTGAAATTTTGCCTGTGAAATGCATTGAATACTAATGTGTGAGGAAAGTGAAAAACATTACATGTAAACAAATTTGGCAGAGCTCTTATGAAATCATCTTTTCTGCAACAGTCATTTGGAATTCAGCTCTGACAAATTCGGAATGAGGTATACCAGTAAATCTAAACCCATATATTATTCAGTTTGTTCCAATTTCTAAAAACAAACATTCAAGAAAAAAACTGTGAAAAGGATGAGGATAAGAAACTTTATTAGCCTAGAATAATTCAAACATTACTTGCTGTGAAGGTAGGTATTGGGTGCAGACATTTAAACCATGAATCTCTCTTATATACTTCTCCTAACCATGACCACTGCAACTTTAATTTGCAACCATTAGTTTGCAACACTTGAAACCGTCTCATTCGAAACGTGTCAAGAAAAGTAATAAGTGCTAATATTGAGGAATGACATAAATATAATATTGGCCTAAGTAAGTTTGTTTTGATGATTGGCAAAGGAACTCAAGCATGAACCAGGTCCATATACAGTGTACACAGATACGGGCAGATTCGAGCACAAGACATGCATGTAAAGAAGATAAGCTTAAGTGGTTATATCTGATATCTTCTGAACGAAAATGTTGCATAATTGATAAGGAGAAGGACTCCTTACTCGAAAAGAACTCTATCCTAGATAAGGGAGGAGTTAGAATTTGAAGATAACTAGAACTCTTCCACCAAGGAAGAGTAAAGCATTAGACTTCTAGTTATTTCCTATCCTACAAACTCTATATATTACAGGATGTTCTCATTTTACAGGGATACACAAACGCTGAAGTTAAATAAGAGTTGAGAGCGAAATAGCAAGGCATTTTGCAAGCAATTCCTGTGTGATTCAGGTGTGCAAACCTGAAGTTACATGAACCAGATAGAAGAACCAGTTCCAAGTGTCTGTCTTTTATTCTAGTTTCATTGTAGTAGGGCTTTTGAGTTGTACCTTTCAGCTTTCTTCAGAAGCATTTGTACTAGGTACTTTGAGTGTATTGTTCCAGTTAGAGTTAACTTGAAATTGTTGTAATAGTCTAAGGCTGGTTGCCACAAAGGGTTAGAGGTAACCCTTAGGTTTACAAGAGCTTTGTAAATATTGTTTTTGGCTCAGTGATTTAGTGAAGTGTTGGAAAAAATCCTACTGGGTAGTAGGTCGTGGTGTTTTCACCTTTTGAGCCAGGTGTTTTCCACGTAAAAATACTTGTGTTCTTTACTTTCTGTATTTATTATTCCGCAATAGTAGTATAAGGAACACATAGAAGAACCATGTCCTTTGATAATCTGTGCACGCAAAAAATTGGACACCATATAAATCACTCCCTCATGTGTGGTATTAAAATATAAACATCAATTGGTATCAGAGAGGGTTATCCTTGAAGAGGCTAACACCCTTAGGAGAAGATCAAGATGAGTGCACCACCTAGAAATTGGGAAGGGCAATCCACTGCTAGGCCACCACTCTTTAATGGCCAGTACTACTCTTGGTGGAAGAACAAGATGAGACATCACATACAAGGAGAAGACTATGAGCTATGGGACATTGTCACTGATGGTCCACTGTCTACATTGAAGGAAAATGCTGAAGGATTAGATATGCCAAAGATAAGAGCTGATTGCAATGCTGATGATCTGAAGAAAAGGGAAAAGAATGCCAAATCCAAGAAATGGCTTGTTTGTGGACTTGGTCCAGATAAGTACAACAGAATCCAAGGTTGTTCCAATGCGAAGTGAATTTGGGACACACTATAAGTGGCCCACGAAGGAACAACTCAGGTGAAGAGATCAAGAGGAACTCTAATCTACTCACAGTATGAGAACTTTGTTATGAAAGATGGAGAAACCATTCAGGAGATGTACACAAGGTTCAGAACCTTGACAAATGAACTAAACTCTCTTGGAAGGATTATCCCTCAAGAAGAAAGAGTTGAGAAGATACTTACTAGGGTCTTGCTAATCACTTGGGAAAGCAAGATCACTGCCATCTAGGAATCAAAGAACATTGCCACTCTCCCACTAGATAAATTGATTGGGAATCTCACTGCCTATGAACTTAGGATACAAACTATGAAAATAGATGTACCTAAGAAGGAACAGAGCTTGGCACTCAGAATCACTGAAATTTCTGATATGGAAGATGAAGAAATGATTATGATCACCAAAGACTTCAAGAAGTACCTAAGAAGAGGAAAGGGTTCTTCAAGAAGTGGAAGCTACGGCAAGGAAAAAGCTTCTGAGAAGAAAACCAATGATGGCTGCTACAAGTATGGAAAAACTGATCACCATATCAAAAACTGTCCTTTGTGGGAAATTTAATAGAAGAAGAAGAGAGCTAAACGTAGGAACAAGAAGAAGGAACATGTTCAACCCAGGAAAAGCAACAGCAAAGGATCAACCAAGGCTATGGTCGCTGCTTGGGGAGAAAGCGCAGATGATGATGATAATGATGGTGATGAACGAGCACTTATGGCCATTGGAGATCTGATGAAGAAACTAAGGTAAGTGTTTTTCATCTCAAAGACAAGATTAAATTTTTGTCTAAAGAACGGTTATCTGAGTTACTACTAGAGCTAATTGATGAATCTGAGGATGTGAATAATGAAAAGGAACAGTTGTCAAAAGAATGTGTGATTTTGAAAGCTAAGTGCAAAAACCTGGAACTTAGGGCTTGTGAAACTGAAAATGAAAATACTGTGTTGAAGAACTAGGTTCATGCACTTGACACAACTGTCCTAAAACTTAGATCAGAAAATCTAAAATTGAAATTAGGAACAGGCAAAAAGATAGTTGATCACACACAACTCATTGTAGAAGAAAATATAGATAAAATGAAAGATGAGTTGTATAAGAGGGATGGATAGGTAAGAATCCAAAAGGATGATATAACAAGGTCAAGCATGAGCTAGACAGAACTTGTAAATAGAACAGGTCCTCTGATGCACTTTTATGGCTACAAGAACATCATAGTAGCAACAGAAAAAGACTTGGCTTTGGTAACTCTGCACCTAAGTGGGATCCCAAAAGAAAGTACCTCACATTCCCTGAGAACATGATTTTCACACACTGTGGTAACATGGTCACTATAAGAGTGAATGCACTACAAAAGAGAAGGCAGATTAAAAGAACAAAAAAATTGTTCTAGGGAAAACTAGGTTGCCAAGTTTGGCTAAAAAGAATGTGATTTATCCTTTGGGTTCCGATGACTAACCCTTGATTTCTTTTTGCATGTCCAAGTGAAGGGGAGCAACCAAATATGGTACATGGATAGTGGCTGCTGAAAGCACATGGCAGGAAGCAAGAACCAGTTCCTTTCACTTGAGGACCTTAAAGAAGGTAATGTCTCCTTTAGAAATGGAAAGAAAGGTGAGATCATTGGGGTTGGAAAGGTAGGTAAGACTGATTCTCACTCTATTGAGAATGTATATATAGTCTAATAAGTGTATCACAATTGTGGGATAGAGGTAACATGATATCCTTCACCTCTACAAAATGCTTTGTGATTAATCTTACCACTAACAAGATAGTTTTGCAGAGAAAAAGAGTGAACAACATATATTTGGTGGATATGTACACACTTTCAGATAATGAACTCACTTGATTAAGTGTGTTGGATAATGATCCCCTCTTTGGCACAAGAGACTTGTACATGCTAGTCTAAGTCAACTCAATAAACTAGTTTCCAATGAGTTGGTGATAGGGCTGCCTAATATTAAGTTCAAGGAAGATAAAGTTTCTGAGGTGTGTACAAGTGGGAAGCAAGTAAGATCCTCTTTCAAAAGCAAGAAAATGGTAAGCACTAACAGGACGATGGAACTGGTCCATATGGACCTTTATGGGCTAATGAGAACATTGAGCTGAGGTGGTAAGAGATATGTTATGGTGCTTGTTGATGATTACTCTAGGTTTTCATGGACATTGTTTTTAACATCTAAAGATGAAGCATTTGACATTTTCACTTCTTTTGTTAGAAAAACTCATAAACAACTAGGTAATCAACTTGCATTAATTAGGTCTGATCAAGGTACTGAATTTGAGAATGCTAAATTTGCTGAATTTTTTGATGAGCATGGCATAAATTATAATTTTTCTGCTCCTAGGACTCCACAACAAAATGGAGTAGTTGAAAGAAAGAATAGGATATTGGAAGAAATGGCTAGGACTATGCTTCTTTCCAGTAAACTGCCCCATAGTTTCTGGGCAGAAGCTGTGAACACTGCATGCTACATCATAAATATGTGCATGACCAGACCTCTTATTGAGAAGACTCCCTATGAGTTACTTAAAGGGAGAAAGCCAAATATATCCCATCTTAGGGCATTTGGATGCAAGTGCATTGTGCACAATAATGGTAAAGACTCCCTAGGTAAGTTTGATCCCAGAAGTGATGAGGGAGTATTCTTGGGATATTCTTCACATAGTAAAGCTTATAAGATTTATAACAAAAGAACTATATGTGTAGTAGAAAGTGTACATGTATTTTTTGACGAAACTAACATTCTTTCTGAGAGGAAGGAACATGATGATGAAGGAATTGGTATGGTAAGAAACTCAAATGAAACCACAGCCTAGACTGAAGCTGCACTAGAGGAAGGAATAAGTTATGGAACATGTCCTTTCACCTTGGGGAACTTGACACGGGGAACTGAACAAAGAGGAACTGATCCTCAAACCTCGAGGGAACCTGTCCATGAACCTGTTCCTTAACAACAAAACATTAAAGGAACATCTAGGGAAAACCAACTGGTTGTGAAACGTTACAAGTATCAAAGTTCTCATCCCATTGAGAACATAATTACTGACCCAACCTTTAGAATCAAAACCAGATCTTCCTTGAAGAATCTTTGTCCTTTTGATGCTTTTTTATCTCTTATTGAACCTAAAATTTTTTCTGAGGCTTTGCAGGATACATACTGGGTGAATGCAAAGCAAGATGAACTCAACCAATTTGAAAGAAGTCAAGCTTAGCATCTGGTACCAAGACCCAATTATAGATCAGTAATCGGCACAAAATGGATCTTCAGAAATAAACTTGATGAAGATGGAACAATTACAAGAAACAAGGCAAGATTGGTGGTTCAAGGATATAGTCAAGAGGATGGCATATACTATGATGAGACTTTTGCTCTAGTTGCAAGATTGGAAGCAATTAGACTCATTATAGCCTTTGCTGCTTACATGGAATTCACTCTCCATTAGATGGATATCAAGAGTGCCTTCCTCAATGGCTATCTAAAGGAGTAAATGTTTGTCAAGCAACCTCCGGGCTTTGAAAGCAAGGAATATTCTGATCATGTGTACAAGCTTGATAAGGCACTTTATGGGCTCAAGCAGGCTCCAAGAGCATGGTATGAAAGATTATCAAAAATCCTGCTTGAGCATGGCTACAAGAGAGGTAAAATTGACAATACTTTATTCTTGAAAGAAAAAGGTAAAGATATCTTGATAGTTTAGATATATGTTGATGATATAATATTTGGAGCAACTACAGATAAGTTAAGTAAAGAATTTGCTAAAGTAATGAGGAGTGAATTTGAAATGAGTATGATGAGTGAGCTTAATTTCTTTTTAGGCTTACAAATTAAATAAAATTCAAGTGGAACTATAATCCATCAGCAGAACTATGTAAAAGAGTTGCTTAAAAGGTTTAAAATGGAAGATTCCAAAGAAATTGACACTCCTATAGCAACAACCACAAAATTGGATGCAGATGAACGTGGTTTATCTATTGATCAGAAGTTGTATAGAGGAATGATTGGCTCTTTGTTATATCTCACTGCTACCAGACCTGACATTATTTTTAGTGTAGGGCTTTGTGCTAGATTTCAAGCAAATCCAAAGGAGTCTCATTTGACTGCTGTCAAGAGGATTTTGAGACACCTAAAATGCACCACTGACCTCTATCTATGGTATCCAAAAGGTAGTAATTTCAACTTAGTGGGATATACTGATGCTGATTATGTAGGTTTTCTTGTGGATAGAAAGGGCACCTCAGGTATGGCACACTTTCTTGGCTCATTTCTTGTGTCACCAAAAAGCAAAATTTTGTGACCTCTCCTACTTCTGAAGCTGAGTATGTGGTTTCTGCCTTATGTTGTGCTCAATTCTTGTGGATCAAAAATAATTAATGGACTTTGAATTGATGTAGGTTGTATCCCCATCTTTTGTGATAACACTAGTGCAATTAGTATGACAAAAGACCCGGTTCATCACAAAAGAACTAAGTACATAGATGTTAGGCATCACTTCTTTAGGGACAACTATGAAAAAGGTTTGATCACTGTGGGATTTTGTGCTACTGACAAGAAAATAGCTGACATCTTGACAAAAGCTCTAAGTAGAGATCACTTTGAAAGGAACAAATTAGAATTATGGATGATTCAGATCACCTAAAAGGAACTAGTTCCAACTCAATATTTGGTTAGATAATTTGCGAATTTTGCAAATAATTAGATTAGGCTTTGCTCAGTATCATAATTTTACTAGTATACTCTTGTGCCATGTGCTAAAATGTCTCATTAATCTCTAATGCATTATCTTTATTTTCTTAGAAAAATTCAGACTTACACAAGAGAATTCTTAGTGAAGAACCGGGTTCATCAAGATTACATGGAATGTACTCTCCACTCCGCATATTTTGAAATAACTGTGTTTGGATCATGAGCAAAGAGAGAGAACTATTTAATCCTAACCTCCCTCAAGCCTATTCGTTACAAATGAACCAGTTTCACCTAGAAAAGAGTCCCAGTGCCATAATTGCCTAGATTCTAGGGAAAGTCCCCAACATCTTTTCAAACTAACCCCTAGTTTGATTAGACTTCTGAGCTTCTAAAAAGATTTCGTTACCCAATTAAACTCTCCCTTCTTACATTGATTTGGCCTTACCCATTTTCTCACTTCTAAATTTTAACCGCCTAACAATTTTTTCTATCTACTCTCATCTCTTCTACACACACATACTCTCATCACTTCCATACACACATCTACACACATCAATAGCTAACTTTTCTGAAAAACCCCTCATCACCACCCAAAGAATTATTAACTACACCATCTATCACACCTTCAACCACACCCACCTCTAAGAAGGAAGGTTCAAGATGCTTGCTCGCAAAATAGTCACTGGATGAGAATAAATCAAGAAAATTAATGAGCAATTGAGGGAAAGCTAGGAAGAAGAGCCCAAAAAATTTGAAGAATCTTTTAAGTCTGCAACTTAGGGGGAAAAAGCTATTTCATCTGAAATAGAGCAGGTAGCTTTTGGTCCTAAGGTTGTGTCTGAAATAATTTCTGAGGTTGCTGAGAATCTGGAGAACATATTTGTTATGATTGTAACTATTGCTGGGGTTGAAATCACTAAATCTAGAAACATTGGCAGTAAAGATAAAAAGAAAAAAGAAAAAGAGAGTGAGGGTACTCAAGGTGATGTGAGGGAAAAGGGAAAAGAAGGAGTGGTTGAATCTTCACCTACTCCGGCTGAGATGACTGAGGAGACTGGGGCTATGGTATTGTGGAGTGAGGATGCCGCTGAGGAGGAAGAAAGATGGAGAGAAAAAGAGGGTAGTGGTGCTGGTGATGCAAGTGCAGCTGAGGGGTTGGTTAAATTGAGGAAGAGGTTCGAAGAACCTGTTCCATCTGTGTACGGACCATTCACAGATCTATTAAAACGAGTGTCTGACAGCTATAATCCGAAAAAGAAAAAGAGTTCATGAGTTAAAATCCCTGGTATTGCTAGGGCAAACAAGAAGATAAAAGTTACCTCTTCTATACCTATAGAGACTCCTCCTACAAGAGGAAGGGCTACAAGGAGTCAGAATAAGCATAGTAAGGTTGCACCGGAAAGAGCCCTAGAAGAGAGTAAAAGAAAAGTTGTTGCAAAGGGAAAGAAGAAAGTGAGTGAGCATGTTCAGGCAGATGAAATTGAGGAGATGGACCTGGTCCTTCATGATGAAGACAAGGCAGAGGAGGTGGAGGTTGTGACTCGAAAGGAAAAGAATAGAAAGATTTTAAGAAGAAGTCACCTTTAAAGACTGTTGATGCAGAGCCCTCTACCTTGGCAAAAAGAACCAGGTATGCAAGAAAATCTAGAAAAGTGCAAATAGTGGAGGAAGAGGAAAGTGAAGAAGAAGAGGAAAGTGATGAAGAGCTGGACAAGATGGTTAAGTTTGGGAAAAGAACTATCTTGAAGGATAGACTCCGCAGGGACTTGGAGGAGGAAGGCATGGTGATGCTGGTAGAAAAACTATAACTGCAAGGTTGGAAGGACATGGTCCTTCAGATGGAAGGAAGGCCTGCCAGAACTGAGATTGTGGAGTTCATGACAAATTGTGAGATCAAAGATGGCAGGGTCACCAGTGTGGTGAAGGGGGTGACTGTGAGCTTTGACGACAAGGAATTGGGAGATATTCTGGGAGTACCTGCTGAAGGGTACAATGATTACAAAAAACTAAAATGGCCAAGCCTAGAAAACCTCCCCACCTCACTTGTCATTACAAGGAAGTTTGTTTACAATGAGGAAGAGCTTCAGCCCATGGCTATGTACAAAAGTGAGATGAAGCCTGCCCACAAAGTGCTGTTTGAATTTGTTAACAAGGTCGTGTTGCCTGGGCAGGAAAGAAGGAACATTGCTACCTTCATGGACCTGGTCCTTATGGAATGCCTGGATAATAGGTGGAAGATCGATTGGCTTGGGTTTATCATCCACCTTCTAGATAGGGTTCTGAAAAGTGTGGATTTTGACTACTTATTAACACCTTTTTGCTTTTATTTTAGTCCGAAAGTATTGATCTATGTTCCCGAAACTAATGAAAGTGTGAAAATTACAAGGATTTGGATGTTTGATCTCCCATGATGAAATCTAACTCAAAAAGGAGTGTTCCGACTCACAAGGCAAGAAGGGGCACAAACCTCAAGAAGTGTGGTCCGCAGAAGAAAGTGCGGACCACAGAATTCCATCTGCAGCCGCAGATCAGGTAAAAGAGCCCAGTAGAGTTTTAGCCAATGTGCGGACCACACATGAATTGTGTGATCGTAGAACAAGGTCTGCATTGACAAATGATTCAAGGTTCAGAGAGTGTGCAAAAGATGAAGACCTGAAGCCTTGCTGAAGTGCGGACTGCACATGAATTGTGCGGCCGCAGAAGGTGTTTTGCAGCCGCAATCTAGAATTGTGCGGCTGTAAAATCCAAGACTCTTCCAGTTGAAGCAATTTGTGTGCCACACATAGAACTGTGTGGCTGCAGAACCTCTCGATGGGCAGTTTTTAGCGAATTTTGGGACACTATAAATAGACGAGATTCACATTTTTAGGTCAAGTTTTTGAAGTTTGAGCTGTTGTAGCCGTTATATTTTGCCATTTTTAGAAAGTTTGTGACTATTTTTGGATTTAAACATCATATTTTATCATTTTAATATTAGATTATGAGTTTAATTAGCATTTCTTCTTTGTTTTTTTCATTTGTCACTATGAGTATCTAGATTCTTACTAGGGTTGTGACCCAACCTTAGTGTGTAAACCTTATGGGTATTTAATTTTAATGCTTGTTTATGATTGAGTGTTGATTATTTAGCTTAGTTTATGCTTCAAATTTAGAATTAATGGTTGCAAACATTGATTCATATCTTTTTGACTTGGTCTATACTTGAGAAAGAGGGACCTAGTCTAGGATAACTTGGCTAACAAGGAATTAGGCTAATTAAATGTTTGATTAGCCTAATTAAAAGGGTTAAAACTAGAGATAGTGAGAACCCAACTTGAGCTCATATCGACTATTTAGTTTGATACCCATTTGGGCTTGAGAAAGCCATATTGGGCAAAATCATTCTTTGACCGAGAGGTATTAAGAGGGTAGCATAGATTTGAAAGCTATAATACACCCCAATCAACAAAATAAGTCTTAACATATTTAACCCATTAGGTGAACACCTAGGTTAAGGTTACATCCATAAGCTTTTTAACTATTTGGAAAAACAACAAAAACCGTCATTCACTTCTAGTTTCTTTTCTTAGCTTATAATTGTTAGAGTAAAAGTAGAATTAGAAATCATAGCCATTTGTTTGGAAGCGCAATTTAGTTATTACATTCGCCTTCGTCAAGTGTATACTCCAAACACCCATAGTAATTCCTTGTGAAAATTGACCCCGACTCTTGTTGGGTACTATTCTTTCAACGATGCAAGAAATTGTTAAGAAGGAGATAATCAAGTGGTTGGATGCCGGGGTTGTCTACCCCATCTTTGATAGTTCATGGACCTCTCCGGTTCAATGTGTCCCAAGAAGGGGGGCATGATGGTGGTCAGCAATGAAAAAAATGAGTTGATTCCTACTAGAACAGTGACCGGTTGGAGGATGTGTATGGACTATCGCAAGGTCAACAAAGTCACAAAGAAGGATCACTTCTCACTTCCTTTCTTAGATCAAATGCTCGATAGATTGGCCGGCCATATTTTCTATTACTTTTTTGATGGGTACTCAGGCTACAACCAAATTCTCATTGCTTCAGAAGATCAAGAAAAAATAACCTTTACATGTCCTTATGGTACTTTTGTTTTCAAGCGGATGCTATTTGGTTTGTGCAATGCACCGGCGATTTTTTAAAGGTGTATGATGGTTATTTTCACGGACATGGTAGAGGACTACCTTGAAGTTTTCTTGGATGACTTCTCGATGGTTGGAGATTCTTTTTATGAGTGTCTTGCAAATTTGGACAAAGTGTTGGCTAGATGTGAAGAAACAAATTTGGTGCTCAATTGGGAGAAATGCCATTTCATGGCCGAGGAAGGTATTGTCCTTGGCCACAAAATCTCAAGGAATGGAATTGAAGTAGACAAGGAAAAGCTTAAGGTGATTTATAAGCTTCCACCCCCAACTTCGGTGAATGGTGTGTGGAGTTTCTTAGGCCATGCGGGTTTCTACCGACGCTTCATCAAAGATTTCTCTAAGATGGGGAACCCGTCATGCAAGCTTCTTGAGAAGGATGCTAAGTTTAATTTCAGTGATGATTTCATGAGAGCTTTTGAACATCACCGCTCCATAATGGTGTGTGCCTTTTGAACTAATGTGTAATGCAAGCGACGTAGCTGTAATGACCCGGTCGATCGTTTTGAGAGAATTAGCCCCGAACCCCTATTTATTTCTTCCTCTACTTCAGTTAGTGGTTATGTAACTTGTCGGGAAGATTTGTTTTAGGTTCCGAAGTGAAATGGGACACATAGTCCCTAAAATAGAGGTTTAAGTCATAGAAATTAATCGTAGTTCGAACTGTGTGAAGATCACTCCGGAATGGCGTTTTGACAGTACCTATAGCTCTGTAGTGTGATTTTGGTCTTAGGAGCGTGTTCAGATGTTGAATTGGTGGTCTGTAGGTCATTTTAGCTCTAATTGGCGAAAGTTGGAAAAATAATGATTTTTGAGAAGTTTGACCGGGAGTGGACTTTTTGATATCGGGGTCGGATTCCAATTCCGAAAGTTAGAGTAGGTCCGTAATGTGAATTATGACTAGTGTGCAAAATGTTAGGTCAATCAGACTTGATTTGATTGGTTTCGGCGTCGGATGTAGAATTTGAAACTTTGAAGTTCATTAGGCTTGAATTGATGTGTGATTCGTGTTTTTAGCTTTGTTTTGCGTGATTCATGTTTTTAGCGTTGTTTGATGTGATTTGAAGGCTTGTCTAAGTTTGTATGATATTTTAGGACTGGTAGGTATAATTGGTTGAGGTCCCGAGGGCCTCGGGTGAGTTTCAGATGATTAACGGATCATTTTTGGACTTAGAAGATTTTTTGGTGGGCTTGTTTTGGTGTAATCGAACCTGTGCAAGATTGACCACAAGTGCGAGCCCGCAGAAGAGAGAAATTGGGCGCAGATGCAGGGCTGGGGGACTTGGCCAGTAGTTGCAGATACAACATAAAGACCGCAGGAGAGGAGCCGCTTCTGCGGAAGATTGGTCACAGAAGCGGACGAGTGTGGGAAGGCATGTCCGTAGAAGCGGATGTGTTTGAGCAAATACGCACCTGCAGAAGCGGGATTTTGACCGCAGAAGTGGAATGGGTGCCAAGATCGGATTCCGCAGAAGCGGATCACGGGCCGCAGAAGTGGTTCCACAGGTGCACATAATTGGCCGCATGTGCAAAAAGCATTCTTACAGATTGATTGAACGAAATTTGAGGTAAGTGACTTGTCTAGCCTTGTGTGGGGGAAATCCCCTTAGGATTTGGTACTGTTGTAACAGTTTGTGATATGTGAGCATCGTGTACACGAGGTGACGAGTGCGTACACAGGCTGATTATGGAAAATTTGGTTCTTGCTGATTTGTCATCTTTTAAAATACATTAACGTAGTTGTTTTCTTTTAAAATACATTAACTGAGTTACCTCAACATATGTAGTGATCATGTTTAGCGTAGTATCGCATGCCTACATGCCTTAATTCTTACTTGCAATTTGTGCAACATGCTTAGTTGAATTACCTGCTTTACTTGATTTGAATTAAATCTTTAACTATAAGATTTTTGTTTAAAATTCGTGTTTCCTTTCGATTACCTGCTGCATGTTTACTTTGGGACTACGAGGCGGTTCCTCGGGAGATCCCCATGTACTACATATTTACTTTGGGACTACGAGGCGTTTACTCGAGAGATCCCCCTGTACTGCATATTTATTTTGGGACTACGAGGTGTTTATTTGGGAGATCCCCCTGTACTGTATATTTACTTTGGGACTACGAAGTGGTTCCTTGGGAGATCCCCCTGTACTGCATCTTTACATTTGGGACTACGAGGTGTTTATTTGGGAGATCCCCCTGTACTGCATCTTTACATTTGGGACTACGAGGCGGTACCTCGGGAGTGCCCCTGCTATGTACCTCTATTTATCGTGCTGATATTTTCTGAAACTTCTTATTTTTATTAATTCTCAGTCATTTCAAAATATTATTATATCTTCTGCCTTACTTGTCTTTTAAACCAGTAGGGCCCTGACCTGACCTCGTCACTACTCTATCAAGGTTAGGCTTGGCACTTACTGTGTACCATTGTGGCGTACTCATACTACACTATGCATATCTTTTTGTGCAAATCCAAGTTCTTCCCACCAGCCCAGATACCAGTGAGTTGGACCGCTCATGGATACTTCAAGGTATATCTGCCAGCGCTTGCAGAACTCGCAGTTCCCCTCTATCCTTACTATGTTGCTTTTCTTATTTTTCTTTAGATTCTGATGTATAGAGATACTTAGTAATTGCTGTTAGAAGC